CGAAACTTCTTAAGACGACAATTTTGTAATTTTGTTTTTAAAAGTATTAAAATAAATAAAATGATCTATTTCATGCTTACAGTGCAGATATATGTCTTCATGCTGATATTTTATCTCTTAGAAATAATATCGCTTCTTAGCTTCTTTTTTTATGAAGCTACGTATATTTTTGCAATTTAATTTTTAAAATATTACATTAAACAAAATTATCTATACTTTAACTACATTTATAATATAAATTGAATAAGATATCAAGACAAATTTTTATTTTATCTCTTTTTTTAACAAAAATGCTCTGTACGTATTTTTAGACGACTTTCTTGATTACGAATATCGCAAATACATTGCAATTTTCTTAGTATTCTAGATCTATAATGCATAAAGAAATTTGTCTCCAACAGAGATCTCCATAATCATTCCTCTCCGAGTTTTGATGATGAGAAACTCACGCAATTAACTAACTGTCGCAATTAACGTATGATTAATTATAACTCTCACGCTTGTTTAAATTGTATCAAAACAATGGCTATTTAATATCTAATAATAATAGAATAAATAATAAAAAAAATAAATAACTATAGCAAATAATAGAATAAACCGTTTTAATTTGTCACGTTATTATTTTAAAAATATAATTATTTTATATAAAATATTTTGTGCCTTATTTTTGATAAAGTTCTTGTTAACTTTGAACGATGCGACATCGTGAATATGATCCGTTTAAACTTTTGTTGTCGTATAATATCGCACCTTGGGTCGCATAATTTACATCAAAGTTTGAAATTAACAAATAACTTTTAACAAAATTATGGATAAATTTTGGTCTTTAACCAAGAAAAAATGAAAAATTATTTCTTAAATATATGTTTACTGTAACAGTTTTTATCATGTTTATGTTTGTTTAAATTTTTTACATGTGACATAAATATGATTGTAGAATAAGTGAAATCACTAAGAGGCTTCTTCAGCTTTGACAGAAGATATCTTGGTAACAAATCAATTACGCCCGAGGATGGGCTATGACTTTCGCTTCATGTTTTCTAAATTCGAGGCTGAAATATATACAAGTCAATCAATTACTGATTTGACGGCATTGATTGGGCTTTATGCAAATATTTAAAAAGCTTTTAATAGCGTTATTTTTGAACGTAAAATATATAAAGTGACGGTGATTTCATATGCATTTCTTTCTATGTTTGTAAATATAGTAGGTATATAATTTGCGATTTTAATCAAGTTTCGAGAACGGCAAGTTTAATAAATCGATATTCTTTTGTACCAGGAAATTTCTTTATTTAACGCTTGAATACTTAGTAAGATCTTGAATATGTCATAATAGCGGTATAATACGTATATTTTTCAAAAACTTCTTTACGTTATAATTCACAAAATAAAAAAAATTGATACAATAAAAGATAAATGCAATTAATGAAAAACCGTGGATATCTAAGCATATTTGATTTTTTACTCGAATACATCTCGGGTCATTGTAGATTAAAGTGTATTATCTAAAAAAGAATAAGTAAAATAAAAAATTATTAATTACATTTAAATTTAATTTATTATATTTTTTTATATTATAATACCTGTATATTGATGAAAATAATTGTATATGTATGTATATGTGTGTGTAAAAGAATAGCGGAATGTCTTTTTTGCAAAATGCACTTTGCATGATGTCGTCGAATATTGCTACTATTAGTGCATCCAGGAGATTAACTACTACTACTAATCTAGCCTATTGGACACTAAAGAAATTAATTAATAGCGAAGTGAAATGTCGATCGTTGATGGTGACCATCAACGATGTTCTTGCGATGAACGAACAAATAAATGAACGAGCAAGTTTCATCGATCCTGGGGGATCGAACGATCAGCGCACGTTAATTAATTTCCGGCCTAACGAAGTCCTCGCCAGTCCGCAAATTCGTCGTTGCGGAACACGTCGTAGACATACGACAGGTAATTTTCGGTAGCGATTCGATTCTACGAAGGACATCGGATACGAAGGAAATACAGGAAGTTCGGTTGAGCAATATAATCCAATTTCGAGACTTTCATCGAGCGCTGCTCTCACTATTTTTCATTGATTTTATCAATGTCAGTTAACTATGCTGAAAGCTAATAATAGTATTTGAGATAATTCATAAAGGAGAGCCGCGATTTATAGCGATTAGCACTTTAAAAGTCAAACAATTAAGAAAAACTATATAACTCGAGATGAATAGATTGTAAATACTTTAAGTTTTTATTAACTTGTATTAACATGTATATACATATATCTAACGTTATTTTGCTATTAATTCGGCGTCTTAAAATAGACGAATAATATTGGATAACAAGATACACATGTGTTAAAATGAAAAGGATACTAACTAATTCAATTATTTATTTATTTATTTATTAAATGATGCAATATCATAAACTGAATTGCGCGAGTTAGGATTAATTGACTAATGTGCTACACAATTTATCGATGATTATCATTTCACGAAGAGCATGCCTTATCAATATCGAATTTCATAATTAGTTTTATGTTAATTCTAAGTGACCGACTTTGCCAATCGACGACAACAACCTAATGTCAAAAACTGAAAATAATTATCGTCGTGGGCGCGTGCACGAATGAAATTTACATTCCAGTATTCATACGCAACCTTCCAAAATAGTTCTAAACACAGGTATTAATATGTATAATGATCAGTATAATAATGGTCAATTGTGGTGAATCCTATTAGTTATGTAAATTATATGATTAGGTGATATTATAATTTAATATTTATTATTCCAGCTATCAAATGTTATATAATAATACAATAATATTTATGTTAATTTCATACATCAAGGTAACATTAATCGAAATGTTTATATTAAATAAATACTAATGGATACTCTACTATTGACATTAACTATTCACTGAGAAAAATATTGAAATAGATTTATATTAGAGGAAATAGATATTTTAGAATATCAAAGATATACATACATATCCGTGACCGTGAATACTTTCTTGTATTTCTAATTTATGCAATAGTCTCATAAATCGCATAATTCCTTTCGTGTAATTTCGCCGAGTAATCATGATTTATACTCTTCTCACACACATTCTCGCACACGGTATACTGATACGATGTAGCACGCACAACGCTGAGAACAAAGCCGCCATCACGTTAAAGTCATTAATATCACTTTATCCTTTCATTGCCGTGGCGCCGGAAAATGATAAATCCTACGTCTCAGGATATTATTCGTGGCCTGGATAGTAGTAACTATCCGACATTTTACGTTGATTTTTCTGCCTGATGCTATAACTCGATCTCTTTTGACACATTAGATCGCGATAGATTAAGAATAAAGTAATTTTCGTACGCACCCATCAACGACAAAAAATCAACAACAAAAAATTTTCAATTTCTTTTGTTTTTGATATATGATTAAATCATGATTGATCTAATTAATTGATGAAAAAAATTAGCTTCTTGTAAAAAATTAAGATTAATAAAATTTCGCTAAGTTAATTTTTTCAAATTATATATTAGTTTATACAGATTGATCTTTGAATTGTTTCTTTTAATAAATATTTATTTAAATAAAAAACTTTATGTAAAAGTTTTTCTTAGGAATTTCTAGATAGATAAATGTTTAATGTATAAACAAAATATAAAAATAATATTGGAAATGTGTAAGATGTATTGGAAGAAAGCCTTATGAGATTGACATTTAGTGTCAATAAAAATAATAAGAAAATAATTAAAGTTGAGCAAATAGCAAACATTTACGTCACACTGACAAATATAAATAAATTAATCAATTTATTCTACAATTAATATAGAATGAGTTTGCATTTTCTTTCTTATCAAACAAAAGAAAAGCTTTACAAATTTCAACTTTAATTATTTGCATTCTAAATATTTTCAAAATAATTCGAATATAAAGTATGACATGTAATAATATTGAAAACAGAAAAAATTAATAAGTACTATCTAACAATAAGAATTTTACGAATATTTTTATTATTGCGCTCTTTCTCTCTCGATTTTAATATCCTTTTCGTGATATTTCAGACAGACCAAGATTTATGTATATATTTTTCAACTCGAAATCCGTATGTTTTTACAATTTAAATTTATTTCTTTTATTTTTGGACATACACGTAGCTGCTTATTTGGAGAATGTGTTAGCTAGAATTTCTAATCAAATTTTTCTTACCATATTATAAAATTGATGTTCTCAACATTCATTATATGCGTTAGATAGATTATATATGCATACAATTAACAAAATTACTTATTTTGTTTTTATAATACAGTGGACATCAAATTTATTCTACATATTTTAGCATAATGATTTCAAATAAATTGTGTATTAATATTTGGTCATAGCTGGCTAATTTTATAAAATATTACAAAGTTGTCAATCTCTCGCACAATTTTATTGTTAAATACAAACTCTGAAGACTTTATCTCAAAACATTTTCATAGTTAGCATAAAAGCTTTTAATGAGATTAATTAGTCACGAAGAGAGAAATGGGCATTAGCTAGGCATTAGCAGGGCAAATAATATTTAGTATGGCAAAATATCCAGCAGCGAGTAAACTGTCTACATTTTTCAAAAATTTCTCTAACATTTTCCATGCCACGTTTAATTCTTAAAGACAAACGCGCGCGAATATATCGAACAATTCTATACATTTAATTAACTCTTTAATTATATATTTTTAAATTAAAATAAATTAAGAAATGTAAGTAAATTAAAATTAAAGCGAATATATTGTTAAAAATAAAATGTTAATTTTAACTTAAAGACATATAGTGAACTTTCTGAGACATTAGTTAAAATTAACATTTTTGTACAAACAAAAATGTTAAATTATAACATTTTTGCATGTCTCAGAAAGTTCACTATACGTCTTTAAATTAAAATTAATATTTCACTTTTAACAGTGTAAAGTTACGAGTAAATTGCAAACAATTTGATTGTATATAAGAGCGAGACTCACCGATGGTCGTTATCACGGTAAGGGAATACAGAAAAGCACCGGCAAAAGTCCACTTAGTTTCCTTCATACCATTGTATCCATTTTTTATAAATGAGACTATCGTCGTTTGGTAATTCTCGAGAATGTTTCTTACCTCCTCCTTCCAGAGTTTTTCCGAAAACACATTTTCCTATAAACAATATGAACAGTGTCAAAATATCAAAAAAAATAAATAAATATTAACATATTAGTAATGTCATTCGTTTTTTCTCTCGATATTTTAGTTAAAGAGTGATCAAATCTAAACATGTGTAAAAATAAATGATTAATAAAATTTGTAAAAGCATAAAATCCGTATATCTCTACGTATCTGTTCTTGGCGATATCATTCGATTTCACTACTGCGAGAAATTATAGCGCGTAGCTCGATTCACGTAAATTCTTCACCTTAGAAGTAAGCTCCCAAAGAGAGACGGCCGTCGAATTTCTTAGCTTGATGACGTCGTCGGCGATATTCAAGCTGATTTTACCCTCGATGTAGATGAATAGGAAGGCGCCCGCTATAGTGTAGCCCACTACTAGACACACGATGCCGACGTTACTGAAGAGGAATGCTATCAGCGTCCTGATCCAGTCGGCGATCCGCTCACCCCATGGCTTCCGCTTGCGTTTCCGCCGTCTTCCGCTCCGGCTCCGATAACTTCCGCGTTGCCAACTCCTACTGACTGACGAACGGGACGTCCTATCCGTTTCCATCGACGATTACGACTTCTCAATGTCACCTCGATCGCATCACTTCCGGCCGATTCGCGAACATCAAGCTTCCGGATCGCCGAACTCTCACTGAGTTCTCGCCGTTGCTCTCCGTTGTTTATGATATCACTACGTATAGGTATCCTCTCGTGGACGACTAACCACGCGGAGCGGTCATTTCGAACCTTCGATTCCCTGTTTCTTAATAATTCATTGACGATTATAAAATGCCTATCGCAAGAAACCGCCAAGTCACCACAAGAATTCACATTATTGCTCGAAAGCCGCAGTCAAGTAATTGGCTTCGTTCCATTTCGTTTCCATTAACATCATCTTACGATCGAAGGCCAGAGAAATCTCGCTCATTAATTTAAAGTTTAAGTGAACGCGCGCGTTATTATGAGTATGAGATTTTCTTCTTAAGTTAATTTAGTTGATACAAAGATACTAATATGTGATTATTACGACCGTGATTGTAATTTGTTTTTTCAACTTTTAATTTCTCAATTTTTCACAAAAATATATGTATATCAATTAATGAGCTGATATTATTTGAATTGGATTTTTTTGCCAAAATTGGTGATGGTCTAAAACTGTTATATGTATTTAATTATTATGATTGATTATCGCGATAGTTTTACTAGCAAATA